CTAAGGATGTCTACACCATCCCAGTGCTTTATATACTTGGCCTCATCTGATCCTCCAAAAACCCTCCTGAGAAGAGGTATTTATTGTTCTTGTCCCCATTTTATTTTTTTTAAGATTTATTTATTTATTTTTAGAGAGAGAAGACAGAGCATGAGCAGGGTGGGGGAAGGGGCAAAAGGAGTGGGAGAGAGAATCCTCAAGCAGACTCCCCACTGAGCAGGGAGCCTGACGCGGGGCTCCATCCCAGGACCCCGGGATGATGACCTGAGCCAAAATCAAGAGTCGGACACTCAACTGACTGAGCCACCCAGGCACCCTTGTTCTTGTCCCCATTTTAACTGAAGAAGAGATTGAGGCTCAGAGAAAACCCCCCAGCTCATAAGTAGTAGAGCCACTACTCTGAATCAGCCATCTTGTCCATCTCACTCAGAAGCATTCTTAACCTTGATAATGATGTCAAGAAGTTTCAGGCATCGGTGCCTGCCTTCCTAACTTCAGCTTCTAGGGAAGTTTAACAAACCACAGCAACCTAAACCTCACTGTCATTTGGGAGCTGTGCATTTATGCACTTGAAGAAATGTGAGGAGAGTGTGTGATAAGAGGAAAGCACTGTTCTGGGTTCTGTTGGAAGGGATCTAAGAGGAAGAGGGTCTCTGCCTTCAACATGTGGATAACCTGATTGGAGAGACAGGGTTTTGTGCAAAATTAGAAAGGCAGGTGCCTAGGTCCCGAATGGAGCACTGGTGTTTTTTAGATAGATGAAGTGTCACGTGCTACCCCAATGGTTACAGTCCACGTTGTGACTTTCCCCATAGATCTGAGAGTAGGAGAGGACTGATGAAGACATTTCTTTTCCATGCTGGCCCTGACGTGGCACAATAGCCTTTAGTGCTGAGCAACAAAAATGGATTTAAAACCTCTTTAAGTAGTGTTGAATTTGTTTTAACAGACGTGTGTAAAATACCAAATTCTCTCACTGCTCAGCTCCATGTCCTGTGGGTTCTTCTTCATGCTACTTGGTGGTGCTTGCAGTAGTGAAGCTGCCCCTTACTGACAGCTTAGTGGGTGTTATTATTCATCTACTCTTTACCACAACTTTACGGGATTGGTACAGTTATGCCCCTTGCAGCTGAGGACACCAAGGCTTAGAGAGGTCAAACAATTTGCTCAAAGTCACACAGCTGATAAGTGGTAGACCATGGATTCAAGCCTGCACCCTGGTTTCAAAGCCCATGTCCTTAACTTCCACTTGCTACTGAAAATAATCCTTCCATGCGCTGATATAATCCAGTATCTGTACACACCTTCTTGATAGGTAAGGCAACTGTACTGAGAGACTGTCTTTTGTACTGAGAAAGCCTTAATTTGTAGGTCTTCCACATTGAGTTCAAACTAATACCAAAAATGAAGAAGCTCTTTGACTTAAAAAATGAACAAGTAATCATTCTGTTTTCCTATCAGCTAACACTTAAGTAATAAATACTTGTTCTCCCTGATTTCTCTCCCTCTGTTTTTCATTCCAATACTATGAACCCAGCATAGATGCTGCTATTGACTTTCGGTTTTATATATCAGAATTTTGAGGCCCGAAAGGTGAGAAGTCCCTTTTCTCCTGCTCCTGTCGGGCAAGATTGGCTGAAAAGGGGTTGAGAATGCCAGAGGCCTCAAAAGTGGAGCTGAGAAAGTCAGTGTTGGAAAGGAGAAATCTGTATCCATGCCATTCTGAGGAGAGGAGAGTAGGGCCCAAAACACTAGCCCTTATTCACTGATTCTTTGAGACTGAAGATAAGACCCTTCCCTTGACTTGTCAGAAAGTATGGACAGGAATCGGGAGGCACCTTAAAGCAGGCCGTTATGTTGCAAGACCTGGAAAGAAGAGGACGGAGGAATTGACAAAAGGCTCTATCAGTCCTAGAGATCTGGGAGCATGGATGCCCGTGGCCGCAACTGTCCAAATAGCGTGAAAGCAGGTGTGGTCACCATGACAGGCGGCATTCACGATCGCCCTGCAGGCTCAACTCCCAACACCAACCCCCGGGTTCTGGAATTTTTTCTTAGGCTCTGTGGGCTTCTTAGAGAAATGTTACAGTGAAGAGACACCAGGTGGTACCCAGGATGATATTCACGGGTGATTCATCCCTCTTCCGGTCTTAGCTATCTCTTGCTCAGTTGACATAATGGGTGTTGCTAGTTGGGATGAAACAGCCCTCTCTTGAACTCCCTCACTTCCTCCTATCCCAAGGAAACTCAGCTTGGCTGAGGCCCAGTTGGAATCCTAATCCAGTGGTGTAATGGTACCTTGGTTAGTCTCTGTGGGGAGTGTGCTGACTGGAGGCCATTTCCCCTTGCCGATCAGTTTTCATTCATGCCTCTCAGGCCCTCTCAGGCCCTCTCAGGCCACAGTGGCTGAGACCACTCTCCATGAGGCATCCGTGGTCTGTGGGACACCAGCCAGGTGTGTGACGGGCTCTGGCTGATGTGTGCATGTCGTGTTCATCCTTGTCACCTGTCCCACCCCTCTTCCTGCATCCCCTGAGGCCCTGGTTCAGGAACGAGAGCCACCAGCTCTTGGAGATGCACCCCACCGACCCCAGGATGCTGCCCTGACCACCTGAGAGCATGGGAAGCCTGAGCCCAGCATCTCACTCTCTCGTCACGGCGTGCGTTAAAGACGATTCTAGCAGGCTGGTCTCCTTCCCGTTCTTTTCTGCCTTTGCTTTAGTATGCAACGGACAGGATTCCCTCACCTGGGCAAGATGCTCTGCCCTTCTCCTCCTTCCTCCCTGTGCTTCGAATTGCTATGTCACCTGTCGTTACTTGGCTTTTCACTACTCGTATTCCCTCTCTTGCACTGTCTTAGCCTCATTTTTTATCCATTCCATTCAGTTCTTAGCTTTCTGTCCCATTCATCCAAGGAAGCAGCTAAGAAACAATCTGGATGTTGCTGCGGCAGCAGCCGTGTGTGAGCCTTGTCAGACATGAACGGTTCCAATTTTGACTGTGTAAAAATAGAACAATTGAAGAATATGTTTGTATTTATTTATACCTGATCCCACAAGAGATGGGGTAAAAAAAATAATCACACCTGCCACAAGCAGATGTTTGACAGTTTGTAATTAATCCATGAAAACAGGTGTGTGTCTATGGAGAGGTTGCATCTAAGAAGACAGATCCATAAGAATTGCAGTGGTGTATCTTTCCTGTATAGAATATGGTTTACACCCCACTTTGCAAAACCCAGAGCCACCCACGTTCTGTTTCCTGAGCAGATAGTTGAGAATAGCAGCTGCTTACGCTACCGCTTTACCTCAGGGGAAGAGTAGAGGCTACAAAAAAATGAGTTGGCTGATACAATTCATGAACTTACTATAAGATTTTACATGCGCACACACACACGTGCGCATATATTATGTGTAAAGCCACCATGAACATGTGTTTAATATTTTTGAAGGTATTAAGATCATTTAAGAATTCCAAGTTTGTGCAATGTCATATGTATAATAGACTACTGTTCTTAAAATACCCAGAAAAAAAAATTATATTCCACTGAAGGCAATCCCCAGGAGTCATTAAAAAGACTTTCTTGTTATTTACACAAAATTCAATTTCTTACTGAAGTACTTACGCCTTTTGTCATGTATCTAACAAAACCAGAGGAGGCAGGTTTTTGCAGAAAGATAAGGATGAGGTGATTTTTCTCCTCGAGGCATAATTTTTCATCAGTGTGTTAAAATAGCTTTAGTAAAATTTTAGGCAGAATGGAAAAAGAGTATATATAATGTGTGTATGTGTGTGTACATATACACATTATATATGTAATGTATTTATAATGTATAATACAAATATAAAAGGGAAGAATATTTATTATTGTCTTTTAAGCTAAATCCTTCGTCTTGCTCACAAAACCCATCAATTATTACTTGATTCATATGTGGATTTTCACTGGCTTCCCAAGTTAACGAGCCAGGGAAGCATTCAGCGCAATCACAGGAATATCTCTCGAGTCTCATTAATTTCTTGAGGTTTATTGGGAGAGTGTTGTTATGACCAGGAAAAATACTTTTAACCCACTCACCGTGTCGCTTAAAACAATCTGGAATTTTCAGATGACCAAAAATGAAAGGTTCTATTTTAGAACTGAAGTAAGAAAACAGACACAGTGCATCCCGGCCTCCTGTCTTTCCCACCCCCAGCTGACTCAGCCCAGCTGCGCTTTCTACTGGTGGGGTCCATGACCACGGAGCCCTTGCCGATCCCTGCACTTGGAGGGGCTGCTGGTAGCCTCCCGCCCCCTGCCATCTAAGAAGCAGCAGGTGACTGTGCCTCAGTCTGGGAGACGTGACTCCTCTGTCACCTGCCTGAGCCAGGTGTCTTCCCTCTTCCTCCCAGAGCACTCTGCACCTTTTGCAGCTCTTCTCAGCAGGCTGTACTCCTGGTATTCACTGTTTTCTGTCGAAAATATGAACTAAAAGTCAAAGGGGAGTTTAGAAGCTGGTTTTGCATTTTGGGTTTTCCCAAGTGGCCTCCTTAATCTCTAGGAAGTGGTTCTGTTGCAGAGGAACTGTGAAAGGAAGCTCTGGGCCCGAGCCTCCCTGGCCAGGAATGCCAGGCTGCAAGCCCCACAGGGCCCCAGACGTTGTCCTTGATCGACACTTTCTCTTAGAGCCTCACCTCTATACAAATGGCAGGGCCAAGCCTAGACCCGGTGTGAAGTTCTCTTGCCAAGTACTCTGTTTCATCAAATGTTAAAATAACTGTGTCCTGTTCTGTCATGCAGGGCACATCCTACCCCCAGTAGAATAATATATTTCAAGTGATTTCTGAAAATGGGCCGTGAAGGCTGTCTGCCACATGGGCCCATGTTTGCACATCTCTATATAGTTACGATTGCGGAATTTGACAGTATAACTCTGAATCTGATTAATTAAGAATGTGTAAAAACAAAGTTCTTGCATTACAGCTCGTTCCTTATCTTTGTGTCTTTTACTGTGATGTTGTAGAACTTGGATCATATGGAAAACTAAAATATTATGACACAATGACTGAAGAAGGTAAGAATGATTTTAGAATTGTATGCATTGGCTTTTTTTTTTTTTCATTTATGGTGTCTGGTGCTTGCCCATTTTTTTTTTTCATCTTCTTTTCCTCTTTGCATGACTTCAGTGACATTGTGTGATTTATTATTCTTTCCACATTTTCGTCTAGTTTTTGCCATCGTGTTTATTTGGGACTGGAGACGTGCAATACCATGGGTAATCATGTTATTCCATTCAGAGAATCCAAACCATCTCAATTGCGTAACACACTCAGAGAAATGGTGTCAGCAACGTAAGCACAAGCACACACACACTGGGTCGGCATTATTTCCTGCTCGTGCTCACAACACCACACAGAAACATACCCAGTCACCACTCTTGTTTTAATATGCCCTGTTATGCCTTCCAATCTATGCAAAGGAATGAGTGATCTAAAGTAACTCCTCCACCCCAAACCAGCTGGAGACCTGTTTCTGATGCAGAGGGCTGTGGGCTCATCGTGGAACTGAATTCACTGGGGTTCACACTCTGTGAAACTGAGCATATCATTTTAGCCATTTCCCCCTGAGTAGTAAATGAAACCTGGCAGAGATTTACTTTAAAATGAATTTACTAATGAACTCCAGGCACTATCCAGAAGCACCGTCTTGATCCAATGAAAATCACTTCTCTTGAAATAAGTTCACCATGGAAGAGCGATTTGAAAATTCTACGTTCTTGTGAAGGGAGTTATCCTATCACCCCAGCCCCCATTTCACCCCACACGTACCTCCACCTTGTGAATGAGAAACAATATTTGTGACGCCAAAGAAAACATGTGGGGTTTTCATGTGACTTTTACACGGATTCTGACAAGTAATCCGAAGGTAGCCTAGAAGGAGAATCAGCTAATTTTATCTTTCAACATGAGAGAAACTCCCAAATGTGTTGCATATCCTGTTTTCAGCGTCTAGTATTTCTAGGTTGCCTTAGCTTGCCAAAGATCTCCTAGTCGCTTTGCATCCGAGAAGTGAACATCTGACAGCCCTTGGTAAGAGAAAGCCCTTCTCCTCCCCTCACAACTCGGGCTTCAGCACAACCCCCAGGCCCTCCTCTGTTGCTCTTGCTGTGCTCTCAGTTAACCACTGTGATGGTTTCTAAGGCAGCAGGCCATGAAGGGGATCTTAGACTGGGTCCTCTTATGGCCCAGGATGCTCCCAAGAACCTGGGGAATTGAGAGCCCTGGGGGACAGAAAGCTGCCAGGAGAATGAATGTCCTACCACCAAGAGGGTAGAAAGACCAATCCAGAACATAAAGGAAGGCTCTTGTCCGACCTCTCATTTTTATTCAGTGTCTTCAGACCACTTGGAGTTTCATTGGTGGTTGGCTTGAGAAGCCAAAGCTTTGGGACTCGCTGACTCTACAGTCTGATGGCTCCTCCCAGGCATCTCGCTAGCCCCCAGCCTCCGTTTCATGGCTCAGGTGGCACGTGGGTCTGTTGGCTTCCACCAGACCCATCACAACCTTCTACTTTCTCTCTTTACTCTTCCTGTCCTCTGCCTTGCACCCCTACCTTCCCATTGTCAGGGCAGCTTCTGCCTCCCTGTTGCCTTAAGCACCCCATTTCCCCCCTTACTCTGCTCCTTTCCTGCCTCCTTCCACATCCATTTGAGCAAAGATTGCCACCCGAGCGCTCCCTTTCTCAGACCCCCTAAACCAGACAGTTCAAGATCACCTGAGATGCACAAAGGCTACCTGCAGTCCGATGAGTCCACTTGATAACAACTGGGCTTTCTAGGCAGGAAAACAAAAGCAAAATCATGTCTGGAAGGAAGATCATGGCTAGCCCTTAGCAAGGCTGGGAAATGGTTTAGGGCCCCCGCCCCCGGGCCCCCTTTCACATTTCTTATACTTCCCTTTCCCATCCCTTCTTGCATATCACTTTGTGTTCCTAGCTGAACATTCACAGTAATAGCTAATTGTAGTGAAGGCAGCATTTTTAAATCGTGTTCTATGATGTACTGGTTTCATATGATGTCACTAGGAAATTTTGCAACAACCCAGAAAAAAAAAAAAAAGCAAGCAAGTCTGATTTCATAGTTTACTAAGTGGAAGAGCTTCTGAGTTTAAATAGTATTTTTTTTCCCATGTGATCTATGCTGCTATATGCTGCAACACAGAGGAAGTCAGAGAGAGGGATGCAGTGCGCAGTATTTCCCGGACTTCTTAGATCAGAGAACTCTTTCTTCCATGGAGCCTCTTGCAGGACTGTTTTGGAAATGCTGAGGAAGGGTGCTCTCCTCCCCCTGGAATAGGAACCTCTGAAAGATTAAAAATAAGCATCCTCCACACGTAGCCATCCCTCGAAGGTACTCACAGAAGGGATACTTCGGAAGAGGAGATCTTCCTCTAGCCACATCCGATCACACCCTCTGGCAGCCGCCTCCACGACAGGCCAGGCCCGGCTTACCCCTAACCCTGGGATTCTGTCTAAAAGGTCAAAGCCAGCTCAGTAACCTCAGACCGCGCCACAGCCACGCATGACTTCTTCAAACCCTCGAGGGCCTCTCCCCTCCCATCAGAAATAAGAACAGTGGTTGGTGCCTCTTCCATGTCGTACAACTGAAGGAAGTGTCCTACAGACGAAGATGTTCGGGGCAGTAAGCATGGGCTAGCTGGCCTTCAGGAAATACCCCGCTCCGTGTTAAGCATCTCTTTTCACAGTTTTCGAGACGTGACTAGCTCTGGAGCAGGGCTTTATTACACTTGCCCATACGACTAGTCATCCTTTGTAGTCCTTTCCAGGAAATTCTCTGGATGGGACGTGAGGTCAGCTACTTTAAATGAGATTTAAATAAGGGCTTGTTTTTTTTTCCCCTCAAGTGGAGCAAATGGAAAGATGGATTCTCTATGCCACCCCATCTCTTAAGAGGAATTGAGTGATGATTTCCTAAATATAGAGAATTATCCTGCACATATTCAGCTCCTGATTTTAAGCACCTGCTATATGCAAATTATTTTGCTAGGTGCTTTGGGGAAATATGAGATTAAAAGGTGAGCTGTTTGCCCCCACAGAATTTATAGACAGGGAGAGAAATAAGCACTGAGCCACCAGGAAGAAAGTGGTAACCATAGGTATTTGGAAGAAGATGGCAGGCTACACAGGAAGAGGAAGGATTGCTTTCAATCGGGGGGAAGATTAGTGGAGAAAGTGAACTGGACCCCAAGGACCAGTCAATATTGGGGATACTGGGAAAGGAGGAGTGGTAAGTTCTGACCTACCAGGCTGAGAAACGGATCAAAGAATGGGAGTACACCAGCTTTACTGGGTGCCTCCCACCTGCCGGGGACAGTGCTGTGGGCTTTATGTATTCTATGTCATTTAATCCTTACAATGACCACACAAGGTACATTTTATTGAAGATGAGAAAGCCAAAGCTCAAAGACGTATTTTGTTAGATGAGAAAACTAAGACTCAGAAAAGCAAAGTATTTGGCTCTGGGACTCAGGGGTAGTAAGTGGTGACTTGGGACCTGAACTCGGGACTGTGGTGTGCCCAAGCTCTGCCCTCTTGGCACCACTGTGGTTTGCCGTACCAGGTAGTATGAGGAGCTAGACAGTTCAAGATGGTGTCAGTATAGGGAGCAGGAAGAAATGCTTGATGGAAACCAATCGTGGGAAAGATTTCAACCACAGACTTAGAATGAGGACATCATAAAGTGAGCAACAAGGAGTTACTGAATGAATAAAACATGCCTTTACTTGAACACTCCACCATAAAAAAAAAAAGTTATTTTAGTAAAATAATATACTCACTCTCAGACACTGGACAAAATCATGACATTTTTAAAAATGTGTCCTTGACCTCAGAGCCCTTCCCCCTCCCCCATCTTCAGTGACTTAGGACCTAAACTGGAAGGAACAGTTCCCTGGGCCACACTCAACCTCCTCCCCACCCCAGCTAATCAGAATCTTATTCACTCCCTCATTCATTCCTTAATGCATTGACTCAACAACACTTAGTATATACCAGACACTAGACTGAGTGCAGGGCTAATTAAAGACAACCCTTCTCCTAAAGAATTCACACTCTAGTGGAGGACACAGGCCAAGAGATGAGTGGTGTGCTGGACAGAACCAAGGTGAGGGGGATCCCAGCAGAAGGCATCATGTTCAGCCTTGGGAAATGAGGGCAGGTTTCTCAGAGAGGTGATGCCTCCATTGCCTCATTCCTGCATCCCAAGATGACAACAGTCTTACTGGCCACCTGATACTAATGTGTGTTCACTGAATCATAATGGAGCACCCACTCTGTACAACACATTTGGCTAGACTTGCTAGATTAGTAAGCCTTACTCCTCGCAAGGATCTATAAAAAGATGTTTCCAGGGATATGAACAAATTACTCTAGAAGTGGTCTTTTGATGACCTCAGATCCCTCTACATGGGTGGCCCTCCTCTTATTTCTTTGTGCAGTAAGACTACATATTCTTGGACGGGTGGTCTCCAACTTTTACTTGAAGCTAATAAGCCATAGTTTCTTTCTTATCTGCAGATACCGAAATTACATACCATTCTCACTCTGGAAAATTCTCAATAAATTGAACTTGACTTCCGTACTAAAATTACTCCAGATGAGAACGGTAGAAAGCTAGTTCAAAAGAAAACAAACTTACGTGATAGAACAAATGAATTAAAAAGAGAAGTGACCTTTCCACCAATCACATTATATAGAACTACTAATTTTTACTCTTTGGAAATAAACATTCGTAGAGATATGTAGATGGATAGGTAGACAGAAATCCTGACTAATATTTTGCAAAGAAGTAATGTATGGGGAAAGCTACCTGCAATGTACTGTCCTAAAGTCATTGCCACTTAAGAATAGCCATTTCCAGGAAAAATCATTTCTCCATCATTTAAAAAGTCTTTGTTCACTTGCATAAGAAAAAAAAAGATATAAAAAGTTGTTGCAATGTCAAGGGCAAAAAATTACAATGACCTTTTCCTTAATGAAATTAAGAATACGGCTTCA